TTATTATACATCTAATCTGTTAACCAAACTACTTGGAATGCCCCTAATTCTTTGTTTCCCCCCACGTTCTCTAGCTCTTATTTCACTTTGTTCCCCGCAGTTCTACCCCTGTAACTCCCCACTCTCCACTTCACATGCTCCTTTCTCCATATCATCCCTAAGCCACCTTTTCATAGAATCACAGGATGTGATCAGGGGTTGGAAGGGACCTCGAAAGATCACCTAGTCCAACCCCCTTGGCCAGAGCAGGTTCGCCTAGAGCAGGTCACACAGGAACACGTCCAGGCGGGTTTTGAATGTCTCCAGAGAAGGAGACTCCACAACCTCCCTGGGCAGCCTGTGCCAGTGCTCTGTCACCCTCAGAGTGAAAAAGTTTCTCCTTATGTTCATGTGGAACCTCCTGTGCTCCAGCTTGCACCCATTGCCCCTCGTCCTGTCACTGGCCATCACCGAGAAGAGCCCGGCTCCATCCTCCTGACACTCGCCCTTCACATATTTACATACATTGATGAGGTCACCCCTCAGTCTCCTCTTCTCCAAGCTAAAGAGACCCAGCTCCCTCAGCCTTTCATCATGAGGGAGATGTTCCACCTCCTTCATCGCCTTTTCATTAGTCCCAGCCTATTTCTGCCTTCACACACTATTTAGTTGGACCCACCTGCACTTCAGGTCTCTCCTCTCCACAAGCAGGGTCACTGTTGTGCTTTCAGGTAACAACTACTCATTTGTTGGCTCAATCCTGTATTTTGTAATATATACTCTCAGCTGAGAAGAGATGGAGAAACAACAGATATTGTGTACGTTTTGCTCTGCAAATATATATATGTATTTACACCTGTGTACACACACACATTGTGGTATGGGATCCTGGAACACTTGACAGTGTTCTTAACACAAAGTCTGCTGTTTCAGCCTACATTAATCCCCCAAACTAGGAGCTTTGCTTACTATTTCTTTGCTAGTCCTCACAGAAACCTTTGGATCTCATGGTTCGGCCCCAATCTCTATGTATCAACATATTCCTCAAACAAAATTAATAAAAACCCCAAAGCATCATCACTTCCTAAGCTGACATCAAAAATTCAACCTTTGCCCAACATCACAGTCGTGTACCCTCAACGCAAAAAAGTCGCTTGGAATGGGAAGAACCAGGGACGGTGCACGTCTATCAGAACAGAGGCTGGATGCTCCTGCAGTGAGGGCATTATTCACACTTAGTCCAGGAAGATACTTTATTTTTTTCAAACCTAACAAAACCAGTTTATGTTAGCAAAGAATCCATATCTAGCTCACGACAAGCTATAAAATATTCCACGTACGACTTATTTACTCTGCCTACCCGGTAACAGCTCAACTTTGCTTTCTGCGCACACAGAGCCCAGCTTCCTCTCCATCACCACCTTCTTTGGACCGATCGGTTACTATTTCTGTTGTCAGCAAGTTTGTTTCCTTACAGGTAATAAAGTACTCCCACTGGCTAGGCAGGCACTGATCACTCAGGAGAGAAGTTGTTGGAAGTAAAGTATGAAACCAATCACCCCTCCAAAATACCCACACCTTAACAGTCTTTGACAAACCTCATAGAGTTCTGTTCCGTCTCTCCTTACTCTTCACTACAAAGTGAGTACTTAATACTTGAGTACTTCCCCAACACCTGATACAAGCTGCTACTACAGCGAGCAGTCTGACAGTCTGTCCTGCAGATGAGAGTTGGAAGAGAGCACTTTTTGTTGGTGCTACTAATCAGAAAGTATTTATATCTCTATTCCCACAAATCAGTCAGGAACGTGCAACACTGAATACATTCTTTTCAGCAGAAGATGGATTTGGAGGTTTAGTCTCTTGACCAGATCTACATTCCTGTTTAGAAAAAACAAAACAGTATTTAGGTTGCTTTTCTAACGCTACTTTCCGAAGAAATTTTTAATTTGTCCAAGTTGAAGCATGTTCTCACACCCAACCCCTCGCTCCAAAATCCTCAGGAGGCTGATGCAAAGTTTGATTACAGGTTAGACTTCTTACCAACTAGCAATAAGGCAGACAAACACTCAGAGAAACAGCATGTTTTCCCGGGGTTTTGTGGCCAGAATGACATTTCCACTCCGGGGGAAATTCCTCTTTTCTACTTTTCCACTTGTATCACTCCATAAACCCTGGGCTACTAGGTCGGATCGACAGACTTTGAGCAGACCACTCATCTGTAGGCTGAAACCCTACATTTGCTCCGCTCCACCCTCAATTCTTCCCAAGCATCGTTAATTGCAGGCTTTTATGTAATATGTGGAAAAAACAAATAAAAAATAAATTAAAAAAAATCAAAGCACCACGTGTTCAAGCTCTTTCCTCCAGAAACAGTTACTGGTTCTCCACTAACAATCAAGCCACTGAGATAAACGAGCTCACCTAATACAACTTACTTTAGCCTTTCATGGCCCAGTGAAAACATTGCCTAGAAAGCCAACATCCCTAGGTAATGAAGAAATTCCCAGTTCATCTTATTGGAAAAAGACAAAAGGTTCAGGCATTTTTCATCAGGGAAGATGTAGAACTCCAGAATTCTTGCAACTTAAAGGTTTGGTCTTAACATTTGTTTCACAAACAGTAAAAGCTGTTACACAAAGTATTTGTTTTCAAAAAAAACTATGGATATTTATTGAAAAAACTACGGAGACCACTAGAAGTTTACATTAGATGCTACAAAATATGTTAAGTTCTTATAAATGTATAAGCAAAGGACTGAACTGATTTAGCTACAGACAGCGGATAAAGAAAACAGTTTCGCTAACATTATAAGCGGGCAAATAGCGACAGATTAAGACATACTACAATATACAAACAAATGTTTCTTGGTTCTCAGTACAAAGATTGTTCTTCTCACTGCTACTGCTTTAGTTGAGGCTTGTTAGGAGCAGGTGGGCATCTCTTGTAGGGAAGTATCACCCGATGTCTAAGTAGACCTGAAATAAAACAAACCTTATTTCAGCAAGCAGTATGTAGAGCAATCACCAGCAGGGAAACACTCAACAGTCTATAAAAGCAGAAATGCGTAGAAAGACGGCTTTCACTTGTATCAAGATACAATATATAACAACTTAGTGACCAAAGAGCTGATCTTGCCAGGTTTTCTTTCCATAATATGGCACCATCTCGGTGCATTTAAGAAGGCATCGTGCAGAAATGCTAAGTGATTCAAATTAATATGCACAAAGATCACCACGAAACAACTATTAGTCTTCTGTCCTGAGTAACTTATTTTTAGAATAAACCAGAGATGACTCACACGACTGTAACATTAAAATACACGCATCATTCTTAGTGCCCTAAGGTTGGCCCAAGCAACTTGTAAATGTCAGAAAAGCATATAAACCTTGTTAATGCTCTCAGAAATTCATTTAAAGATAGAAACAGGTCCAAAAAGATGCCTGTCTAAATGCATTGCAATTACGTTACAATTATTTTCCAAATACACAGATATGCTCTGTCTTTTCTCAGCTCATTACTGACTCAAACAATTTGCCCTTCTGGGATCAATTGTTTGCTAATAAATAATTGTTTACAGTCACAAAATGATATTAAGGAGTATTCTTATTAGTTTTCCTTCTACAGCCTAATAAGATTCAAAACTAGCTGATTCCCAAGAGTCTAACCTTAACCTTGCTGTGTTTAACAGCCCAGGAAATGATGAACCATCTGTTTCAGAAAATAATGGAGGGCCAAGAGGAAATATTGTTTAATTGTAGATTAACCTCCTCATACGGCAGAATGAAGCATCTACAGAATTAGCAACCATAACTAGCAATGAACAAAAATAACTGAAAGCAGCTCTTACTATTACAAGACCAAGAGCTGCAAGTATTCTTTTATCACCCCCTTTTTTTTTTTCCAAACCCTCCCACATGTATGTAACACGTACAACCTGTTTTTAAGAATAAATCTGAATTATCATCTTCAGATTTTATTTTGGTTTTTTTTTAACTGAGGAAGACCCGCAAATAAACACTGACATAATCCTGGTTTTATTTTCCCACAGGTATCAAAATTATTTTAAAACAAACGTATCTCCAAGTGAGAGATGGTGTATTTAGTCCTCTGTAACTTCCACGCCACATCTCCACAGCCATAAAATGGCTGCTCCAAAGCAAGATACAAGTCAGTTAAGGGAAGTGGGGGGTCTTGAGGTTTTAAACTCAAGAACTTTGATCACTTACGTGTGTCTATTTATGTAGCCACTTAGACACTAAATAATGGAGAGAACCAGATAAAGTGTAAGACAGTTTGGGTACTAGTAGGGAAAAAAAAAGAGCAATGATAAACCACAGGAATTTGAAAATAAAAACAGCTGCTCCTGTGCTAGCATAATGAAGAGTAGTGCAATTCTGCACCGTGACAGCAATTTTTCTATGTAACATTCATGCCAAAGCGAGCTTAACAGAAATCTTTTACCTCCATCAATCAGGTTGCCCCATTCTGACAGCAACAATGATAGAAAAGTGTGTTACCGGAGGGCTGCAGCAAGCTCCAATACACGGGAGCTGAGAAAGCTTTTCCTTGATCTCACACAACCTTCCCAGAACAGTATCTAGATTCACTTCTGACGGTGACAGCTGGGTGCGTACTCAGTGTGTAAAGATTTCATTAATCCTAAGTTTTAAATATCCAAACACGGTAACATTTACTCAAATAAATTATTCTTGAATTCTTCACTTAATTCTTGAAGCAATGAGCTAGCAATAACTCCACAGCTTCATATAATAGCACCTATTCAAAAAGGATAAGAGTTTGACATTCTTCTCCTACTGAACAACTAGGCACAATTTTATCCATCAGACGTCTATCAACCTACGGATATTGAAAGCTTGGGCGAACAAGATAAAATCAAAACCAACCCTACTGTCAAGCTGCATTATCTACTGGCATCAATAATGCTATTCATGAATTTAGGAAAATTAATAAATCTTGGGATGAATGCTCAGAAAGTCTCAAATACAGGTGAAGCATACTCACTTCGGTTTTGTTTCTGCATCTGTCACTTGGCGAATATAGATACCATCTTCGGGATGTTCAATGTCATCCATCTCATACATATACGAAGAAGCTATTGCAAGGGTAGTTCCATCATTGCTGAAGGCAAGCGAGGCGATGCTCGTGGGGTACCGGTGGAACTGACACAGCCGCTTTTTGTTAAACGGATCCCAGATATTTACAAAGCCATCGGAACCTCCTGAAAATTAATTTTTAAAAAACAGTTTGTGTATTACAATTGGGAGCACAGCAGGACTGAAAAGATACAGCAAAGGGGGGGAAAAAAAAAAAAAAGAAAAAGGAAGAGAGAAAACTACCTGGAATTACTTTGTCAGTAAAAACAGAGGGTTATACAGAGTCTCATAATTCAGTAATGAGCACAACGACTATTTCCAAAATCCCTGTTAAAGCCGTTAACTCTCACTGCATCAGATAATTTAAAAACCCTCCTCATTGCAAGAAATAAGATTTAAATGCTTAAAAAGTAAGGGCATATGAAGTAAAGGCTGATCTGTTTAAATCAAAATCAAAGGAATTGAAGCAAGTGTTGCAAAAAAACCCAGAGTATCTACCTGTAGCAAACGTGTTGTGGACGTTATGGAAAGAAATAGCATTAACTGGATAAATCTGCTCAATGTTATTTTCCTTCAAACGGTGACATTTGAACGCGTATTTCTTCTTCTGGATTTCGGGACTTGGATCCAAGTATTCCACCGCAACACGACCTTCAATAGAACTTAAAACATAACCCTACCAAAAAAAAAAATCGGAGATATGCATTTTAGAAGTTTACAACTGAGGAATAGAGTGCAGTACAATTTACCTTATACCCCCCTAAATTCAAATAAATGAAATTGAAGCAGTCTTAAATTGTGCACAGCCAGAAATTGTTTGTTCCCATAGACCCATCGCATCATCAATAAAATCTGCTCCTAAGAAAGAAGTAATTCAGAAAAAAAGCTTTCTGAGAGAGATTATTGTTTTAAGCTGACAGCAAGACTTTTAATTACCCCTGCAGGTTCAAACACAAGTTGATTTGGGGGAAAAAAAAAAAAAAACAAACAAACTCTTAAGAGTTCGGAACTCTTGTATTTGCCCACGTATCCCCACGGGCCTAAACTTCTGAAATACTAGAGTTACCCACAGGACTATTTCGTTTCAGAATTACATTACATTAAAATTAGTTCAGAGCTTTATACTAGCAACAAAACACTCAAGCTGAAATAGTATTTTCAGTGAAACTTGATTATAAGTGGTGTCCACTTATCCAGCTAATTACAGTCCTGACTTAGAGCAACCCGAGATGCTTTTATTATAACTTCTGAGTTAAGCCCATAATAGATCTTTTCAGAAATAGGACTGTAATGATATCTAGCTATAGCAAGGTTCTTTAAAATCCATAATACCACACAATCTGGAAGATCAGCTTGGTTTACCATAACTACAACTGAAAATGGACAAAGCGTTCATGCCAATTCAAGCACAAGTAACTAGGTCTTGCAATTCCTGTACTACCGCTACGTACGAGGGAAAATTCCCTTCCAAATTAGTTTGTCAGAAAAAGCTCATCTTCTTGCTTTACTTCAGAAGGAGAAACACTACAGAGAAACTGTGTTAACCTACACGGAACAGCTGTGTGATCACCTAAATTGCACAATTCCCCCTAGATAACGGATGACGGGCTCTTGAATGCATGACACACACAGAGGTAAAAAAAAAAAGAAAGAAAAATATATAAGCAACATCCATACAGTTTTAATCCTGCCCCTGTTCACAGGCTATTGAAGAACCCAGGGCTACAATGCATAAAGGCTGCTGAGCAACCGCCAGTTCTGCCTTCCCCTCTTCTACTGCAGATTTGTTGGGGGTGTCTTGTTTTGTTGTGGTTTTTTAATCGCACATCAGCAGTGTGACGCGTTAAATAGGTTGTTTTGAAAAAAGGAGACAAAACTGAGGTAAAAAAAAAAAATGAAAACACTGGTATGGCAGTAGCAAACATTTCTAAGCTGCGCTCCTGAGAAGTTAACCTGGAACAAGAAGCCTCAACACCATTTTTTTTCCCCCCTCCCAAAGTTTGATGACTGAACTTTGAAAACCAGAAATTTTTTTAAAATGAGAGAAAGATGCAGAAACTCTTGAAAAACAAGCCACCATTTTTCCTAAAGAATATTCAGCTTGCAGGAATACAATTCCTGACGTGGTTCCCGTACCTGTTTGTTTGGAAACGCTCTGATACAGCGGGTCTGGTATTTCAGACTCGATTCTCTTCGCTGCTGAACGTAACCCATGTTCCGTAAATCCCACACCAGCACTCTCCGACCCGCCGTCCCCACAATTAGTCTATCTCCAGACACTGAAAGCGTGTAGACCTTTAAAAGAAAAAATTACAAAATTTAACAGTTATCAGCCGGATATCCATTGTTCTTTGTACAAAATAAAATTTCAGCAATACGCAACAACAAAGCGGGTGGCACCTACAGCCACGTCCATGGCTACAGAATTCCCTTTAGCTTTAATTTATAACTCAAATTTGGGATAAACAGCAGTAGTGTGCAGTTGGTTACTGATAAGGCACTGATGCAGCATTTCATAAGCTCACCCTTAATTCTGTTCCTTAGCACATAGCTGAAAAAAAAAAATATCAAGCCCAACGCAGTCCCATACTACAGATAACTAATTTATCAAAAAAAAATTAATATGCATATGCACCTGCGCAACTCTAAATTTGAAGCACCTTCGTTCAGCTACCAGTCTCCAGATCTCAGTGAGATTTCTTCCTTTTGCTGGTGTTAACCACATTCTAAATGCTACACATGTACAGAAATGTTTATGGACAATTCAAAAGGAAAATCAGTAACGTTCAAGTTTTCCTCAAAAATTATTTCAAGCACTAAGTTTCTTGACTATTTCACAGCAAGAGGAAAACAGATACAAAGTAAGGGGGCGGAAGGGCACGGATATTGGAATTCATCTCAGCTTGTATTGTCAATTCATCCTGCAGTTTAGTCCTACAATACCACATCACACATTTTCTACTCGGTTTTCCTCCACCTCCTGCAGTTTAGTCCTACAATACCACATCACATGTTTTCTACTCGGTTTTCCTCCACCGGGCAATCATGTGTTTTTCTTGTTAAAAGGAATACTTCAAGTTGAGCTTCACATCAACAAAGGCAAACAAATTGCCAAGAAATCCTTAGAAAACCCACAATACTTCGTATGCTTTAATAAAACTAAGTGAACTTGAAGGAAGCAATGTGCTTGACATCATTAAAAAAAGACCATGGCTTAGAATTTCAACTCTACTCCAAAAATTGTCTCAGAGGTTCTAACATTTGTTTATCAAATTTCTCATTAAAATATTCAGCATATAAATCATTCTGTTTCCAGCTATTACTTGGGATGCAGTTAATCAGGAAACAAGTCAAAAAAAAGAAAAACAAAAAAAGGTTGACTCAAAATCTCTGTGCTATTACATGAACTACAAGTTGTTGACACATAAGCAAGATGGAATCCAGCTACTGGAGCTGTCCTGTCACCGAGCTGCTAACAAGAGCAAACTATAAGAATGAGCTTCTTCAAAAGTGATCTGATGCAGCTAAATACATAGGAAACAGATATTGTATCTATACCTCAGCTCAAGAATCAAAAGCCTAAGAGATCTGGTATCCTGCCAGAAGGATTCAATTTACTTTTGGCATGTGCTTGTGCAATTTCACTCAGGCACCTACTTTCATCTTCTGGTTCTCTGATACAGCCCAATAAAGCTATTTGGTTCTGGTAAGGCTGCACTGAAATATCAGACAAAAACAGCTTTTCATTTGCTAGAAACAATTCTGAAGAAATTATCTTCTTCAAAAAGTTAATTTCTAACAAAAAGCACTAAGCAGACAGGTGTGTATGGGCGTGGGTGTATGTGTATATACACAAAAAGCTTCCTTTAACTAACCCACATTCGTTCAGCCTGCATCCTTGCTCTAAAATGGGATTATTGAACTTCCCTCTTAAGATGGGAAATATCTTAAGTGTCCACGCAGGAGTTGCCTAAAAAATCCCTGATGATCCCAATTGCCAAATCCCACTTATGTACAAAAAGGACAAGAAAACTTGCAGCCAACAGCAGTCACACACTTCAACAAGACAGTTTTTCAAATCTCCCAAAAATATGAATAAACGTTGTAGAAAACGTGTTTGTATACATGCATGGAAACAAAGGCATAAAGAACATTAAATATCTTAAATCTTCTTTACAAACTGATGTCACACCTGTACGGTAAGTATTCTTTCTCCACCACAGAATCATAAATCAAAGGAAACCATTGTCGTGCAGTGGAGTAGGTGTACACATTTATCAACGGCAGCATTAAAAAAGTGACATAATGAACCTCGCTGAACCAATAAGCAGCTTGATTCACTGTGGCTGTCCATTACATGATATTCTGTCAGCAATTTATCACAGTTCTTTACATGCTACATACAACTATAAATCAAACCCAGAAATAATGCAATTACTTTATTCTGAGCCAAGGTCTGGCCAGAAGTAGATCCAGCTATGCTGTAACAAAGTAATAGCTATTTAGATGCAATAGGGAACGTAATGATGGCTCGTAATTACAACTTGGCAATACAATGTGATAGAGGTAAAAGAAATTTAAAAGAGGTATAGGCAAAAAAAAAAATAATAATTCATATGTAAAATTATCCAGCAAGACAGCCTGCGTTTAGGAGTCTACAAAAACAGAAACTGCTGTTCTATAAATTCTTTCAACGACACCACTGTAAGCAGTATCAAGATCAACACACCATATAACCATCAGAAAAAGCTTAAGACATTACATTTTATCTTATTTCTCTTAGTCTCTCATTAGCACGGAGGATTTTAGTGTCAAAAGGATGTCTGAATTTACTAGGCATTAGTACAACTACAGGTAAATTGCAACACACACAATTCTGTTCAGTCTTTTCGTACAAGTGAAAAAAACAAAATATTATTTCAGGCAACATAAATGGCCTCCTACTGTACCTCTAGGCACATTTCAAAACAATCAGACCTTACAGCTCCCAGGATCTGGTACACTTAAAAGTCTTGGCATGTAAGGAAATCGATAGCGCCTATTACAATTAAGCCAAGGATCATTAATGACTGCATCAATTTCACGTGACGTTTTTGTTAGGTTTTCCTTCCTCAAGTTTGCTTTAAATTATGAGAATTAAGTTCACCACCAGTGCTAAGAATTAAGTTACGCTCTCCTGTTGATGAAAGCTCAAAGCCTTAACCTAAAAATCACAACATATTCTGAATATAGTATTTTAAAATGCAACATTTTCACAGCTTAAAAACCCTTAAACATAACTTTTCAACTTCAGAGCAGTTCAAGACAGTGTCCTGTACGGGGGTGTTTAAGCAGTCGCTGGATGTATTATTTATTTAACCCATCACCTGCAATCCAGCATCCAGTACGTACCTTTTCAGGCTGAGAGAAGGTTCCTGCGTTACAAGGAGTTCTGGGATCCCACAGTTTGACTGTTTGATCCCAGCTTCCAGTCACCATGACATTGACTTCTGGGCAATACTCAACACACCTGATAGGAGCATCATGGGCACCAACAAGGTTTTCTGTAAGAAAATACAACATATTGTAATTTACTGGCCCTACAAGCAGTCAGAATGTGTTGAATAAAGAATGAAAGAGGACACACTGCTGCAGCATGAACACCCTATGTTCTGATGTTCCCAGTACGAGTGTACTGGCGTGCTAGGGGCCCCTCTGAGGACAGCTCAGGCTTCAGAAGCCTAAGTTTTGCAAGGATCAGGAATGTTAAACATCTCCCAAGATTATGAAAGGGAGTTGAGAATTTTAGGCAGCCCCGGAAATCGATTCAGAGGTCTAAAGAGCGTTCAGTATGAAATGGTATCACCAGCTCCGACGCAGACACCAGTACAGAAAGCAACTTAAGCTTGTCTATATTAACATTACAACAAGAGAAAGGAATTAATATTACACATTAATAAAACTATTAATATAAATGACTTTCTAGAAATGTTTATAACAAAGTTATTTGACCTTTTTCATAACATTACTGCGCACACAAGTTTGTCGAGCCCTGGCTATTGGCTGGCTCTGGTGATCACATTTGTCTCAGGCCGAGATTCACTTTTCTCTTTAACACGCACACAAACACACAAAAACAGCTGGACAAAATAGCTCCATACTTTGCACCAATGAGGCACTGGAACTGTTACTTCCAAGCAATGTTTTGTTAGGAAAAAAAAAAACGTAGTATAAGGTCGTGATGTTTGACAAAGCAAAAGCTTTATATACATTCTGCCACACACATGAAAGATCATTTTAATACGTCTAAACCACAAACCTTTGAACACAAAGCATGTTTGGGTTTAGCTCAGCTTAGCTAACTCTCCCTAACTGAGACACAGCAGCCTATGCCAGAGCAGGATTGCCATCAGAAATCCAACTCAAGGCACCCTCCAACAAGCACCTACCAAACTTCCCAGCAAACTGCCAAACGCCTCTGTGCTTTGAGGTGGTCCTTGTTAGGGCCACTAGTTATTCTGCTGGATAAAGGCACACCCGTGAACTTAAATCATCCGTGTGACAAGCACACAGCCATTGCCTTTCCTTCCATTTTCACCTTAAAATAAGTAAACAAAAACTACACACACGTAAAATCCATCCATGAATATTCATCACAGGACGAGTGTAAACTCTCAGTCTGGCAGCAGCTGATTCAGCCCTTCTGTTCAAGGTGTTACAGCACAATTTTCAATTACAAGGAAGACTGCCTTGTTCAGAGCCTCGGTGGTGAGAAAGGGCTGCATGGCAGAGGAGACTGCTGAGCACCAACACTGACAAATCAACAGAGGCTACCACTTCAAGCAAATACCCTCACCTAAAAAACCTGGAACAGATTCTGTTCACACAAGTATATAAATCGGAAGCTTTGGCCAGTCGTTGAGACCACTTACAGACCTCGGTCTGCTTACCTTGGTCCGTGTTTAAATCGTGCATTTTCAGCTGCTGATCTAATCCTCCGCTCCAGGCGTGGGTAGGATCCTGGAAAACAAACCATTCCACCTGATGACACGCGTTAAGTCTCCCTGACTGCTAGACCTTTCATCTCCTCACCACACAGGCCTTGCTCGGAAGAGTTTTGGGAAGATGGGAATTAAGACACAATTAAAGGGTGAAGAACCAACCCAGACCTAAACAGGTGGATGACAGAAGTTCTGCAAAAATGTTTAAAGTGCTTTGAGCAATAATTTTTTTTAATTTAAAAGTAAAACTAAAAAGAAACAAAAGCACTTAGAGGCTATACCAAACCATGTCTCTTTCTGTAACCTAATGCTTATTTGTAAATGGCTGCCAACCCAAAGCAGTTCCACCTAACTGAAGCCTACTCCTCCTAAAACTAATTTGGAACCTAGAAACTATTTGAGAACCTGTGGGTCGATCCACAGTACAGTACCAGCTATGTGACAAAAAGTTCAGTGAAAAAAGCACAAGCAGAATTCAAAATTTAAACTGATCCTTAAAACAGTCAGTCACACCTCAAGATCAAGTTACTGGAGGACATGCCAGAATGTAACACACAAAAAAAACCCTCCTATTTAAAGAAAAAAAAAGGCAAAACAAAAAAGTGGCAGCAACAAACTTAAACCATTCCTATTTCAAATCCAGAGCATTAAAAATACAGAAATCTAGTATCTTGTAAACAGCTCACTTGGAACAATGCCACGTTTCCAAAACAACCCAGCAGGAGAAGGTTAAAAAGCAAAGAATAGTTGGCTGTGGGCATTTATTGTGAATGATGATTTCTGGCTGGGTACTGCCAGTCCGACCTGCTGTAAGGAACACGCGCACAATTCCCCACACTGTTGCAGCAGGAGCACAAAGCAGCTCAAATGACTTCTGGCCACCACTTCTACCAGAGGTAAATTACTTGTGTGCCTGCACCCTGCCTGGGAAACACCTATTTTAGGACTAGAAGGACGTTAGTTAAAAGAATAATTGGCAGAAGTAAGCTATTTTTTTTAATCCTAAAATTCAGGTAGGATTTCACTATCCCTTTAATTTCAGGGACTGACACTCTCGTGTACTTTGAGCACTATATGTCTATAAATAATAATTTTTAAAAAACCAAAACAACCCCTCACACACTTACATAAAAAGCACAGTCAAGGACAGCTCCTGAATGCTGGTATTTGAGTCTCATGGTGTTGGCAGGAACATCATAGAGCCGGACGGTTGTGTCCCAGGATGAAACAAGCAGAAACTGAGATGTATTTGGACTAAACTTTACTGATGAAATACCATCATCTGGAGTTTGATTCAGTTTGAATTCGTTTGATCCCGTCATCTGAAGAAGAGACAATAATGCACAGATACAATTTTAGTAATAAGAGCACAAGCCCAGCAAGTCAGCTTGCTCACTGATCCAGCTCAAAGGTAACTTAAAGTTGGCCTGAAAAGTTTTCTAGCTTTTAGACAGAAAGAGTTCAGAACACCCAGATTGCTGACAAACTCTTTAAAATTCACAATGCTGATCCCTGTCCAAAACCTCAATAAATTCCTCCCCCTACAGGGAGCTTTTAAATTTAAGTATCAAATATAACATGGAACAAACAGCACAAAAAGTTTATTATTGTCATCTTAGATATTATTACTATAAATGTGGGTTTTCCCCCCACTCTGTGTGTGGCTGTATTTTTAAAAGTAAGTATTTACAAGTTACTGTGAGCATCAAGAAGTTACTTTAAAAAACACCAGCGGGCAGAAAGGAATCTGGTTTGAAAACTCCCAACAAAAAGTGTTGATTTGTTCCTGATTTAGTATGACTGTCATATGCTTCCAGGAATTGCAAGTGGATCATCTCTGAAGTCATTTCAGCCTCTCTGCAACTTTCCAGTCCTTAGGCTTCCCTAAGTGCTACAAAATACCTCCAACAAAACAGCTTTAAGATTTATTTATTTTTTTCCTCTTGGAGTCTAAAGAAGGTCAGATAAGAAAGGAGAGTTTTGCTTCGTGGGGTATGGAAATGTAAAGCAACGTGTGTGAGTGCGTGTGTGACTGGAAAAAAAAACAGACCAACAATTCAATGACAAATCAGTGACTCTGAAGGCAACTGCAGCACTCGCTTCACAGGACTAGTTACTTGTATATAAAAAAATTCAAAGGAGAGCAGAGGCTATGAACAGCAAATTTCAGCTGAAAGAAGAAACTGCTCATTATACATACACCAACAAAACGGCCAAAACTTTTTCCAAGGCTTCAGAAAGCCTTAACAGCACATTTCCCTTATGCTAAAGGGCAGAGAAGTAAATTAGCTCAGATTTTCCATAACACTCTCCCTCCTGAACTTGTATGTACCACCGCAGAGGTAAGATCAGACCTCTTGAGAATAAATCAAGAGAGAATGAGCAGATGAACTAGGACAAGGTTCAAGTTTAGCACACACTTATTCTAGCTCAGCACTTGTCAGTAACGAAACAATCATCAAGTTGTGTAACAACGCGAGTACTACACATTCTTACACTGGAAAAACGCCCTAAGTGGGAGCTTCGGCAGGTGTTCTGCAAGAGATCCTTCAAAACTAAAAACCCAACCCACTATGTAAACACAAAGTGCTATTTCTGCTATTTATAAACATGAAGGGGCGGGGGGGGAACTTTTAAGAATAGAAAACAAAAACTTATTTTTTAACCCCTTTTTTCAGCTCTGCTTTGGAAACACTCAGGCAAAAAACTACAGAATTTGCCACACATTTCTATATGAACGCTACAGAGAACCTTCACCTTTAAATGGTGAAATGTACCTCAGTGAGTATTTCAGAGGGATGTACAAGGACACAAAACCTAAAGGAATTTAGAATGGCTACAAGAATTAGACCAGACAAGCGAACTGCCTTGTCTACTTGTGGCAGAAAACTCAAAACACGAGGATTTGAGGCGCCTGGCACAACCAGCTCAAAAGCAGTCAACAAGCAGCACTCCAGGAAGCAAAGCTACTTACATCAGAAACCTGGAAGGATCTCCCAAAGGTATTTTTAGTCCAGAAAAAAAATGTATAAAGTATCAGAATTTAAATACATCTTGCCTCTTACAGATGTTAGTGTGTGTTCCCCCCACCCCAAAAAAAAAAAAAAAAAACCCACACAAACAGCTCTGCACATTTTCACAAACGCAACTGCTTCACAACAGGGATTGCCAAACAACAGGAATTGTCAAGCCCCAAACAAGAAAAGTCCTTGTAAAACGTTCAAGCACCACAAGAGATAACTCATAAAGAAGCCGCTGCAGGGAAGATGGACGCTGCTCAAACCGCGACGCTGATTTAACTACAGGGTGCAGCTCGGCAATTCCATCATCCCCGAAAGTTCATTTTTACTGAACAGAAAAGTAATCGGTGCCGTTATAGCCCCCCTAAACACAGCGCACCCTATCACTGAGCCACACGATTAGCGTTTCTCCAACCAAGCAAGACGCTTTGTTGAAAGCGTGAGGACAACCAGCCTCTACTTTCATTAAGAAAACATTAAAAATACCGTTTTCATATTGCACGCGTTCCTCTCGCTGCTCCACGCAACGCAACGGTAAAGCTTTCTTTCTGCAGCACCAGGGGGTTACGGAAGCACCGAGGCGTTAAGGGCACGGTCGCTCTCGCAGTCCGGTCCCGGAGAAGCACGTCGGGATACGGGAGATGCTTCTAGCTGCGGCGGGAAGGGAAAAAGAGTGAGAAAGGCCCGAGAACCGAGGGAGGGCCGAGGCTAGCGGCGGAGAAGCTCCGACACCCGT